CGCCCCATGCTTGCCTTGCCAACTTCTTGAATATAGCGGAATGTGACACTAGGGTGAGGACCATGCAGCTGGGTGGTGGCCGAACAACAGGGAAAGGGGGCCAGAATGGTTTGACAACAACGGGTTGAGAGGTGGGAGAACAAAAAAGGGGGATTGTGATGCAACAAGATGGAGTTACTGCTGGCTGTGGGTAGTAGGAGAAACAGGGGTGGTTTTTGGCAACAGGTGGGCTGGAGTAGTGGGTTTAAGGCAGCAGTGGTGGAAGCAGGAAGACTTACAACAATCACAGTGCGGGTAAGAATGGGTTACAACAACGGTAGGAGAAGTAGGAAAGTATTGCGATAGTACTAGTGGAGGGAAGCGGGAATTAGCGACACGTGAATAGGAAAAGGGTAGGCTGCTGGTGGAAGGGTAGCAAGCGGTGCAAGGAATCGTGCAGGAAGCCGGAGATAATCATCACCTCGGAGCAGAATACAACCGGAGCATCACCTGTCCTTGGATACAACCTTAGCAAGGGGAAACGCCTGACGTCCAGAAATTTGAAATCAAAACACACAAAACTAACCCTAAACTCTCATGAAAACGAATGTATAATGATAAAATAACTAAGGGTGGGCCTAGGAACCGACCGACAATCCCAAAATAGATAAAAACCAGAGCCGATTCGGTCTAGGCGAGCAGATGGGTCGTGGAAGTCGTGGTATTGTAACAGTAATGTAGCAATGATCTCAAAATCTTCTCATTGGTTTCTCCCGAATCAGTCTCCCGTGGTTGGAGAAGGTTCAACCTCATTTGTCGAAGTTTCATTCTCCTCATACTAGTCTCCTCTTCCTCGCTGAATGTATCGTAAATGACATAATCTCCTGATAAGTCAATCCTGTTGGCGCTGACATACCACAACGCGTCTTGATAGAATAAATATGCATCCACTTTTGGCCTATCTCAAGTTAAGAGCTGCCTATAAATGTATGTTGCTGCAATTTAATTCTCAAGCCCTTAAGCTTGAGACTTCCTCTAGTTTTCGTACCCTAGCAAAATGTATGTGACTGATGAATAATATGTGAGTAGAAATAAACTTTGGGAGGAAATCTATGACAGACCGTGCTACTCTCACTAGCAACCCCTTACGAGAGTCATCTTCTTTATTGATAGGACATCGATCTCATTGGAAAATTTTCTTTTTATTATGCTTCTAAGATGATTTCTGATGCTGTAGTTCATTCTTCATGTTTGGACATTTGATGGTGGGTTCAATGCTGAACTGAATCTAACATCCAATAACTCCATGTAATCTTTCGGACATGGCACAAAAGTACCCCATTTTTGATATATTGGACCTCTCCTAATAGGGGCAAGTCAGGAAGTAGTCTATCTGAAAGGCCTGAATTTTGCTTATCTAGGATTGCCGGATCTTTGGTGTCGGTTCCTAGGACTTAGGACCAACTTGGACCACCGCTATGAATTTTGTTGGAGTTTCTTTCATGCCCTTTGTTGGAGCTACGTGCTTTTCTTCCTCATCCGTTGGAATTTCATTTTTCTTTTTTGTGTCACCACCTTCTTCAATGTCAACTATGTTATTGCCCTTTTCTTCAACAGCTTACTGCTCAGTAAAATATATTATCTCCCTGGTTGTGCAATCTACTTCAATATGCCCAAATTCATGACACTTGAAGCACTTCATTGTTGGGATGAATTTGAGAATGTGGATTGGTGATCTCTGTTCTCTACCCTGAACTTGTGTCTCCTCAGGTGAGGTTTGCTTGGATGTTTCCCTGAGTGTACTCTTGCTGTAAGATCCTGGGGTTGAACTCTACTGGTAAAATGTGATGGTCGTCTGACGATGCGGTCTCTTCACTTCTAGAGCTAGGACCTGAACATCCGGTCTATAGTGAGCTGGTAGAAACTGCACTGTATCTCCCATTTTATCTTGGACCATGTGGTAATTTGGCAGTTTCCCTCATGCTGACGTAGGTACTTCAAATTTTGCCTTAAAATAATGCCTCTTCTTTAGCTTGCAGGTGGTTAGTTTCACCATTCCATCCTATGGGACGTCGTGACACTCAAAGATATTTTCCAAGGTCTAAAGCCATTCGATGAACTCATCCAGATCCATGCGACCGTCGAAATATAACAAATTTATCTGCATTTCAAAATTCTTGGCTTCTCAGATATTTTAAGTCATATTTTCGAGGTAGAGATTCTTCATCCCTGAAATTTACATGGTGGAAGATATTCACTCCATTCCTTTGATCTAGCAAGTTACCATTATGGCTACGGTGACCCTTCCAGATTGCCTCCTCTTGAAGGTGGCAAGCCTCGGTTGTAGTTTTGGGTTTCCTATCCTAGCACTTAGCTAGGGTTATGCTAACTCTAATACCAAATGATACCGTAGTTAAACACAAATCATAGAAGAATTGCAAATATTATTGCTGAAATTGAACTGAGTTACAATGAAGTCTCTTCATAATTAGGAATTAAACAACAACACAAACAACGCCCTAGGGTGAGAATAATTGTGCTGAATGGTGGGCAGACAACGAAGAAAGGGGGTTGGTATGGCTTAGTAGCAGCGGGTTGAGAGGTGGGAGGGATGGAAAAAGGGATTGCAGTGCATTAGGATGGAGTTACGGCTGGCCGTGGGTAGTAGGAGAAGCAGGGGTGGTATATGACAATCGGTAAGATGGAGAAGAGGGTCTAAGGCAGCAGCGGTGGAAGCGGGAAGACTTACGATAATCACAGTGGGAGTAGGAATGGGTTATGACAACGACAGGGGAAGCAGACAGGGATTGCGACAGTACAAGTGGAGGGAAGAGAGAATTAGCGGTAGGCGAACAAGAATAGGGCGCGTTGTTGGTGGAATGGTAGCGAGTGGTGCAAGGAATCATGTGAAAAGTGAGAGATAGTCACCACCTCGGAGCAGTGTCATGACATAATATTGGGCTATAGCTAATAGAGTATACGCGATGGTATGGTTGAGAATTTTTGAAGAGACGGGGATCCCAATAACACACCAATGAAGGAAAACTTGGGTTTTAGACATACAACTTACCACCTTGAAGGCTTCATTCTCTTTTGAGTCACCGTCCCTTTCTTCCGCTGTACTTTAGTCAGTGAAAGAGTTCACTCACGTATTTGGTAATCAGACGCCACGTGGCCAATACCATGACATTTGAAGCATTTTCTGGCAGTCTCCACTTTATCTCCACTTTTTACATGTTCCTCCTTCGGTTGAGCTGACTTAGGTGTTCCATTGGTTGTACTCTTGATGCTTGATTCTGGGGTTGAACTTTGCTTGTAAGATGTGGCGGCCACCTTGTAATGTTGTTGTAATTGGTGAAGTCTGAAATAAATATCTTACCCGTAATATGCGGGTAGGAATTTGCGCCGCATCTTCTTTTTCATCTTGGAACAGGTAGTGATTTTGTCTTTTCTTTCACGTTAGTGTAGGTGCTTACAAATTTCCCGCCACAACAGTACACTCTTCTTTAACTTGATGGCTGCCAGCTTTACCATTGTGTTCGATAGAATATCCTGGTATTCAAACATCTGTTCCATTGCCTTGAACCCCTTGATGAATTCTTCCGGATCCCTGTAACTGTCAAAATCCGGTAAATCCACCTTTAATTCTAGATCCTGGCGTATCATTTAATATTTCATGCTAAATTTTTGGGGTAGTGGTTCTTCATCCTTTCAATCTGATGAATCACCGTTGTGGCTACTGGTGACTATTCTGGATTGTTTTCTCTCGAAGGCGGCAAGTCTCTTTTGTAGTTGGACGATTTTATGATTTAAATTTTTTATAGAAAGTTCATGGACATCTCTTTGCGGATTTCTCATAAGCGGCACTGTGTCCTTTGATCTTGATCAGGTTTCCAACAATTGTCTCTTCGGTGGCATGGCTAGGGTTTATGTTTGGGAGGTGGAAGAATGTGTAATGGGTTGATTTAGGGCAGGGAAAGAAAAGTTTTGGTGGCTGATTTGAAAAGTCAGCAAGGGAGGGATTGTTTTGGTAACCTTAGGATAGGACTCTGGTTAGACTAGCTCTGATATCAAATTATACCAGATTTAACTAAATAACAGTTGAAAAACAATATTTTTACTGAATTCAAATATGAAATTACAATGTCACAATAAGAAATCTTAAATTGTAACAAACAACAATACAAACTCAAACTAGGGTTAGATCGAGGAGTGGCGGCGGTGCTGGGTAAACAACAAACAACAAGGTGGTTGTTTCCTAGGTTGTTCTCCACTCTAAAGTAGTGTCTCTTTAAAGGGGAGCGACAACATAGGTGGAGGGGGCAGCCTTAACAGAAGCAAGGAATCACTGTTCTTGGTGGTTGCAGCAATAAAGGAAGCTAGAGAGGGATACGAGAAGGATTTAGAAGGGTAGGGGGAGGATACAAGCCTTGATGGAAGAAAAGAGACGACAAAAAAGTGACCTAAAGCATCTAGGATAACTAGGAGTGGCCCCCTCCTATTGGGCAGCACTCCCATGGAGCCAAGAGGACTGACTGACTCTCATTATGTTTGGATCGAACCAGTCCAGAGCTCCAGGAACAATGCTGCGCTCAGTTGACGTCTACATCGATGGTTAACTCCAACCTCTTTTAATGTAAGCATCATGAATATTTTGTATCTGTTTAGAGAATATGTGGATTACATTGAACCTTTTACCTATTCCGGGACTAAAATAGCCTTTTAAAATTAGCCGGGAGACCAGTTTGGTCCTTTTCTTTTGGAAATATTATTTATTTGATTCATTTAGTCTGACTTCAATTGTCTAATGGGTCAAGTGAAATTGCTCATCTCATATGTCAGTAACAGCTTTCCTTGTTTTAAATAAGATCATTTTCCTTATGATTCTGTTCACTAACTCTGAACCTTTTTTTTTATTTATTACAACATAATGGTACTTGATTTTCCATCTATACAAGGTTATCTCGTTTATACAATCTTTGCCTAACCTTGTACTATGTATTGTGTCATCTCTCATGCAGGTACTTCTCATTCTGCATGTAATTCTTGTCATGACAGAAATCTCGTATCCTGTTTTTGTAATTGTTAGGTAAGATCTTTTTGTTACTTAAGTTATTGATTGCAAATCCAGTTGCCAAATGTTTCTGTGCTCCAATGGCTAAATGCCATGTTTAAGATTTTCCGCAAATTAATTCATAACCACAGTTGCTCCATGAATATTTCACGGTATCAGCTATTGGTTGATTTTTGTTTTACCGCTTCAATTTTAGTTTGATATCTACAACTTCAATCTACAGTTTTATTCTTTTTTTGCATCAATTTGCTTAATGGAAATTGGGTTTATTCTGAACAGAGGTATGCTAAATATAGTATTTGAAATCAACAGTTACATTGGCAGTCTGCTCTACTTGTGTTATGCAACTTTTTTTTAGAGATTTAAAAGCTTATGCTCTTTATGTTAATGAAGGACATTATCACTAGGTCCTTTGTCAGATGGTGTGCTACTACGGATTAAAATTTACGTAAAATGACAACATAATTTCATTTTCCAAGTACCATCTAAACAATGAAAACTTCTGATTTGCAATCATCACGCTTGTGCATCATTGTGCAGTAAGCCCTCTGAATTTTAATCATACATTTTTTTTTTAAATATATGTAAGTTCCTTGTCTTAGAGTTGAAGGAAAAATGGGTTAGTTCAATGTCATGAATCTATTGTTTATTTAGCTTTAACATGGCTCATTTGGTTGAAAGTCTCAAAATGTGGACCTCCCAACTGACTATTACTAGACAGTTGTCCACTTTGCTGGATGTCTATTTACAGTTGTGTAGCTAGTATATAAGAATTCACAGAATGAGTGTAGCTTTTGCTTGGACTTTATTTTGTAGAATGTAGTAAACCATGCATGTTTTATAGATATTTCATGATATTTCTGAATTCTGTAATCATTTGGTGCGCTGTATGACCTAAAACAAAGTTCAACATTTGCAGTATACTGATACAACTAACATTCACGAGATTATGTAGACTGTTTGCGATATGCGGACATAAATAGCTTAATATGTTTATCATTAATCATTGGTCACCTAATATCTTAGGAAGGACATTAAGATGTATAATTCTTCAATTTTTCTTATGCATTAAATGGATGTGTTTGAAAGAAATGGAATGGCATGTGTTCTGTATTAATGGTATTGTGCGAAAACAAGCTAAATATGTTGCTAGGTTAGAATGAGAGAAAACTTGTTTACCATTCTTTCTTTTCGTTTTGTTTGCTTCAGTAGGCTGGATATATGACGTTTTATTGTTTGGATTATCTTCTGATTAGAATGACAGTGAATTCTTTCTGAAGTGACTATTTACTTTTCCGATAATCATTTCAAGGATCTAGCTTGTATGAATCATTTATTTATGGCAAATTTTGTATGTTCTTGTTCATTTTTTAGCTTAAACAATTTTCTTGTTAATTTTTTGTGTGGCAGGTGTGATTCAGCAGTTTTATCTGGTCTTGCTTTAATGCTCATTGCAAGCATTATTTGGTTAAAGCTGATTTCTTATATGCACACAAATTATGATTTAAGGGCTTTGCGCCACCATATTGCTAAGGTGAAATTTCATTTTATTTTCATCTGCCACTTTGTTCCACCAATTTCTTTAAATTGAAATCAGACATATTACACCTCTAAATTTGGATTTCTGAAGCCAAATGTCTGATTATGTGCTGTTATGTGGTGTATTTTTTGGGATTTTTTTGACTGTCATTTTCTGAACTAATGGTGTAATGGAATTGCCAAACCGAGAGAAGGTAGTAATGTTGAAATTTTTTTTCTTTCCTATATTTCTTTTGTGATATATATACACTTACAGTTGAGAATACAGAAAATTAGGAAACTATCAAACGTGAATATTATAGCACTCCTAGAATGAATATTTTACGGTCATGTATTAATTGCATGCTGAGAATAGTTTGTAGGTACTTGAGAGATATGATCATTTAATGCTTATATCTTGATGACCAAAATTATATGTGGGTCATGACGAGGTGACCATTTTTTTTAACATACTTTACAAGATGGTTGTTTCATGAGTCCTTTCTCTTTTTATGCCCTTTCTCTAGATGTTGGTTCCATCAAGAACACCAATCTTGGACCCCAAAGATTGATATCGTGATGATCTGAGAGGTTTAGTTAAGATGTTGGCAATTTGATACTTTATTGATGCATGTGTAACTTGAAGCAACCCTTTTATAACATGTTCACGAACTAAGTGTGTTTATGCCAGAATGAGGTGCCAGTGTTGTCATAGTAGAGGGTCTGTGGTGATGAGAGAGCGATAATGAGTTGATGCAGGAATGATTGAATCCAATTGATCTTAATTACTATTGATACAATCGCTTGATAGTAAGTTTTGATGGAAGATTGTGCTATTGTTCATTGTTTTCGGAATACTAAGAATTTGAATTCTATCCAAGCAATAGACAAATGTACTAGTCAAAATTCTATCATTAGGATTTTGGGTTAAAATCATAGGGGGATCATTAGGATTTCAAACCCAATCAACATTAGAAAGAATCATAGGGGGATTGTTGGCGAATAAAAATCCTTGGAGAGTACTTTTGAGATACCTTGTCACGCATTTAGTGGCTGCTCCATTAAGTTATGATTGTGAGTGAATGAATTGCGGGAGTTTATTTATCACCGAAGCTATATTCGGATGAATGAGAGAAGCATTGTTGTTTTTTAATGGTGGTGTGATACATTGGTGGATCAATTGTTGAGGTGCTATCGTGTAGTTTGAGAGTCCCTAGAATTGAGAGTGGAGCGGTTACTATTTTTACTCCATTCATACTTGTGTGCTTAAAGAGATCTAGAATATGTTTTATATATGTGAGAAAGTTACCTTCTTTCTCATCAAATGTGCCTTGAATGATGGCATTAGTGAAATTGAGTTGGTTAATTGGAGAACCTTGAAATAAACCAATGCGAATAAATTTTGCGTTATAAGGGGGTATATAATTGGACTGAATATTTTAGGGTAGTGAGGGCCTGGTTATGAATAAAAAATTTTGCTATCATGCATGCTTTATTTCACTGAAGACTATCTTAAGAATTTATGCAAAATGCCAGTTGCAATTGACTATATTTTGAGATGGTTGAGGTGAATTAGATCTCAAGTACCATTTTGAACTAGTGCAGTGAGCTCCTCATGGTTTTTAACTTTTTGGAATTTATAAGAGCTTGAGCTATATTTGATGGCTTAATGGGAAGGCGAAGGGGATATTTGGAGTCAGTGAAAATATTTTAGGCTTTGAGATATTGATTTTTGAATAGATGGTCGTGGCATTGGTACGAATGAAGGTAATTTTATGTGGTGATAAAGGCTAAGCTGAGAGAGAGGGTGTTGCTTTAAGAACAATGTGATCAAGAGTTGTAATGGAGTTTTACCTGATGAGGTGGCGTGACGCAAGACAGGAACGTCCAAATTAGTGTGTTTTGAGGCATCGCGTGCAACAATAGTACTTGGCTTGGAAACAATATGGATATGAGTTGGTGAAAAGTATATAGAGAGATAGAAGGTGAGATTCTACTGTTGAAAGCATGAGGAAGTAACGTTGACTGTAGGTAAATGTTGTGAGATAAGGAAGTAATTTGTGGAGGAATTTAGACATTTTTGTATAATTTGTGTGGAGTATCCAACAAATAAAATATGCTTGTGAATTTGCTTCCAATTTCTTGGTACTGTATGGTTTTAACTATGGATAACATAGGCAACCAAAGGTTCTCAAATTTTGATAGTTAGGAAGGGAATTGAGCAACATTTCAAATGATGCTTTATAGCTGGGTAGTAGCGTACACAATCTGTTGAAGAGCTGAGTTGTAATTTGAAAGGATAGCTCTAAAGTGGTATTATAAGTAGGCTTGGTGAAGAAGAGATATTTATTTGAACAATACTACAATAGTGATATTTAACTGTCTCATTGTTTTATGGTGTATGTGGAGTGGTGGTTAGATGAGAGATACTATGATTTGCAAATGTTGGGACAAATTTTGATATTCACTTCCAATATTAGAACAAACTAATGTAATTGAAGTTTCAAAGAATTTTCAGCAAGATTTTTAAATTTTGGAGTTGGATTTTAGTTTTAGGGGACAGCCAAAAATATTTAATGCAATGATAAAAAATAACTGTTACTTCAAACCATCAATGAAATTTATTTGATTGGGTCTTTAAACATCTATATCGAGAAGATCTGAAAGATTTTTTTTGGCAAGGGCAAACAAAAGCAATGAAGGCTGGTGGTTTTTATTACAAGAACACGTGCCATGTGTCATTATAGGATGATGCAAAGAGGTGAAATTTAGTTTATTTTTAATGAGATATTAAAATATTTGACATGGATGACCAAGATGAAATGTCAGAGACTATACACAAGTTTAATTATCCTCACTAACACTGTTGAGTTTCATTTGTGAGTCCTAGTTTTGCCTTTGGCCAGTCATTTTATTTTTATATGCCCCCTTGAAGAAGCATCATTCCCTTAAATTCTCCCGCATGAAGCAACAAGATGAAAGTTCAAGATAAACTTTTTTAGTTTTACAAAATTGAGATACAAAAATGAGATTAATTTGCATAGAAGGGACACAAAACATCATGAAAAAAAAAAGGAAGGAAGGTGAAAGTTGGTTGTGTCCAACTTGATATTTTTTTTATTCAAACTGGAATCATCACTTATGATGATCTCATTGAGTCCAGCACATTTCGAGTGGAGCAACAAATTTTACAAGCCAGCAGCAAAGAGGAATTTATATCCAATAGCCGGTTGAAGTTAATTACGGTGGACGTTAGATAATTTATGGTTGAACTGATGTTTGTTAGAGTTGTGAGTTTCCATCATTATTTGGTTGTGTGAACAATTGATCACATAATTGGCATTTTGTTTTAGATAAATATATTATTCCATAGTTGTTCTCGCAGGGTTTTCAAGAGGATTGAGGCTGGGCACAATAATTTTGGTGAGCTGATGCATTTGAGGTTCTTTCGTTGGTGTTATTGTAGCCCATTTTTTTTAGCATAGCTGGCGGTCATTGGCAATGCAACGATTGAGTGTGAGTGTTTCTAATGAAATTTTTATACTTGAATAGTTTATTGTGAGTGCTTCAAAGAATTTTGGCTGGTTTCTTGCTTGCATTGCTCCTAATATTTCCTTAAAATTTGTGTTCCAATGTCGTGAAGATAATGAACGATAATCTCATCATCATTATCCAATGATGTTTGAACATGTGCTAATTTGCTAGTAAAACTTCAGAGCTTTTGTAAGAATTCAATATTAGAAATTTCACCCTTTATTATAAGAGAGAGTTTTTCTTTCAGAAAGAATTTTAGAGTGAGAGTGGATGACACTTCAGAGCTTTTGTCAGAATTTTTTGTAAGAGATAGTTTCTCTTTCAGAAAGAGAATACTAGAGTGAGAGTGGATGACATAAAGATTAGTAAGTCTATAGAAGCATCCTTGAATGAGGTTGAAGAGGTTATATGTCTATTAGGAACTTGGATGGGAGGGAGGGAGGCAAACATGGCTTGGAGAATAAGTTGGCCTTGTTGGATCAAATGGGTATGTAGTGGATTGGGAGTGTGGTAGGTGGTTGCGGTAACTCACTATTGATATAATTGATAAAGTTTTAGCCTTAAAACAATGATGGAAATTGAGCTCTTAATGACAAATTGGTTTTAGGTGTGAGTTTCAGAGGCGGTTGGAAAGCTGGGTTGATAAAAATAAATGGTGATGTTGAAATGTTAGTTTAAAATGTTAGCTTAAAACTAACATTTGAATTTCTTATTTAGGGTTTAAACTAACATTTGAATTTCTTACTAGTTGAATTGTTTAATTGTAATTTAATTAACTCATCGTTATCTTTACAAAGTAAAATTTCTTTAAATCAATAGCAGAAATATGTAAATAAAACAAAAAAAAAAGCTATTTATTTGACTTATTGGAGGATTTTGTTTTTGTTGCTAGGGCGAAATTTCGTCAGATTGCCTAAACTTCAATTATCAAGATGGTGTCAGCTTTAAAAACTTGTTGTACTTCATGGTGGCTCCGACTCTTTGTTACCAGGTACTTGTTTTCTTAACTACACTTATTATTTATTCTGTATTATTTGTTTAAACTTGTGAATTGTGTGGAATTATAACTATTTTCTTTTAAAAATGTTACATTTAGAAGATAACATTTTTTTTTAATGCATGTGTATTATTAGCTCAACACAACTATTTTTAAATTTTATTTATGAAACTTTCATATTCAACGTGTGCTTCATATCGGGACAAAGATTGTTTTTTTCTAAGAATGTCCAAGATCGACAATTAGCAATATTCTAGGTCAGAGATATATATATATATATATATATATATATATATATATAGAGAGAGAGAGAGAGAGAGAGAGAGAGAAATAGATCACAAAGGATGGGTTTTAATAATTAGTTTCCCTTGTAATAGTTTTTGTTAAAGTATAAATGTCACATTTATTTTGGAATTTATGAAGGCAAAAATGGAAACTTAGGTATTTTGCCTTCATTAGTTGATGAGATGTAAGCTTTGAGAAAAAAAGAAAAAAAAAATTATAAAATTAAGAATAATTACCATTGACTTTTAGTAACTGGGACATAACCTATAAACTATATAAAACTAATGGAGTTAATGAGTAATCTTGTTTTTTTTTGAGGAACGAGTAATTAAGATTTATATTATAATGTGTTTGTTAATAAAGCTTTTCGTAATCATTAATATCAAACTCTTGATGTAGATGTTGAAATACTAAGAAAGTTGAAATTGATCAATCTACATTTGATGGAAAATTTTATTTAAAGTTTTTTTTTTTTAATTGGTTATGGATAAGGGTAATTACTATGGATATTAAACAATATCAGGAGAGTTTTAAGTGAGATTTATAATACTAAAATTAATTGGCTAGCTAAAATGCACTGGATGAGTATGAAAAAAATTAAAGGAAGGTTTGGTTATAAAGCCTACGAAGTGACTTGTCTAGAGGTTCAAAATTATGTTACTACATTTTTCTTTGAGAAATATAATTCTAGGAAAATTTTAAGTTGTACTGATAGTTTGGTTGATTTCTTAATTATTATATTATACCCAACGTCCAAAGAGTTGAATACACTACATCAATATTAGTAGAAAATGTTCAACTATTTTTGGGATTCGTTACTTTTAAATATACATGGGTTAAAGACCATTTTTTGTCATTTGTTGAATATATGGATCAACTGTATGATCTATTTAAGAATTGTAAATAAAGTTACAATGATTTGTTTCAATATTATGCAAGATTTAAATAACTTCTTGCCAAATATGATTTGTCGTTAAATTTTTTTATCATGATTAACTTTTTCATTTATAGCTTCAGGGGATAAATTTAAGATGTATTAAGTTACAATTCACCAAAAATGTACACGAGGCTTTATATAGAGCTTTAAATAATGAGAAATTTTTTAACTCCTTTTGTCAGTGTTATTTCAGCATTGGTTAATATTTTTATCAAAAAATCTTCATCATCTCTTTGAAGCTTTTCAAACCCACCCACTCTAATACATTAGTCACTAAATCAAAATTGATATTTTTGAAGAAGCTCTAGTCTGAATATTCATTAATGGTGCATTAGATACATAAGGTGATGCATGATTACAATATGATTGTACAATTGATTTTGTTGAACATGAATCTCCACATATATTAGATCTTGAACTTGAATAAAAAAATGAGTAAAATTCAAAATTCAAATTTGAAATTGAATTTGACCTTGAGATTACTTCTTAGCCCAAACCTAAACTAGAAGCTTAAGTTGACATTTGGACCTAAATCATAATTAGAATCTGAATCAGTTATTGACTTTGAACCTAAAAAATCATGCTTTATAGTTAATGAATCATTTGAGTAATTAGAGAACCTAATTTAATGAATTATTTATGAAAATTATTCTAATGATAAATGACAAGAATGAGAATTAACTTTATTTTTTGTCCTTGGTTTGATTTACAGATTCGGTAAACTAATTTTATGGAGAATTTTAAGTTGCATTAACATTTGGGATAATTTTTTAACGAGAATATTTTAAAACATTCTGAACTTCAAAATTATATCTACCTGATTAATTCAAAAAGAGTTTAATTAATCACAATTAATATTTAAGCCATTAGCATAAAATATGTATCCATATGGGTTATATA